ACCCCCAGCCCCTGTACCCCCAGCCACCCTGCCCTTGTGCCCCCAGTCCCTGTACCCCGAGCCACTCTGCCCTTGTGCCCCCAGCCACCCTGCCCCTGTACCCCCAGCCACCCTGCCCTTGTGCCCACAGCCCCTGTACCCCCAGCCACCCTGCCCTTGTACCCACAGTACCCATATCCCCAGCCACCCTGTCCTTGCACCCCTAGCCACTGTGGCCCCCACCCCCACTGCCTCCAGCCGCCCTCCCTGTTTGCTCCCCACACACTCCTAACAAAGCTATCCATGCTCCAGGGGTGGGGGATAGTTGGTGCCACAGGGTCCAGCCAGGGGCTGTGCCACGGTCTCAGCCAGGCACTACCAGGGACTCCCCCACGGCCCAAGGGGTCAGTGGGCTTAGGGACGTGCCAGCTGCTCCGCCAGGGAGCTGGAAGGCTGAGAGCCCTATTTTTGTTTTCTTTGTTCTGTTCTAAGAGAACCCAGTTCTTTGCTACCACAAGAGGGCCTCCCAGTGCTGAGTCACAGGAGGACCTGGGGAAGGACAGCGCCCTGGGTCCCCTCCCCAGGCCAGGGCACACAGGGCCACCCCAGCACTGCTCCCCAGCAAGTCCTCCTGGCACTTCCCTAGAGTTTTGGGGCATCAGGGGGTTTGTTTGCTTCCCTTGTGCATTTAATGGGGCACCAGAGTGGAAGGGCAGGCGCAACATGTCAGCTGGGCAGCCTGGGCAGGGAACGACGGGCCCACAGGCAGGGGAATGGGGGCCAGGTGCTGCCGGGGAGGGACACGGGGCCAGCATCCATCCAGTGGCTCCATGGGGGGGGTGCTGTCACATCCAGGACTCACTGAAGGGCTAAGACGTGCAGGAGCTCAGGTCCAGAGAGCTACCATGCGGCGGCTCCCGGGGCCACATGGGCTGAGCCAGGGCTGGCATCCAGGCCTCGCCTGCTGCTCACGGCCATCTGTCCTTCCCAGGCTGGCCAGGAGGTCTGGGCTCCTCCCTCTGACCCAGGCAATCCAGGCTTCCTTGTGATTCCGTTCCACTGTTTTTTTAGACTTCTTATTCAGGGAATCTTCATGTGTGGATGAAAATAGACAAGCTAACACAATAAGCGCCCCATGCCAGTCCCCAGCCTCAACAGTTAGCAACCACATGTGTTTCCTGTTGCATCCCCGCCCTGCCATTTAATTTTCATTGTCATTTTATAATGTTGGTATTTTTAAGCAAATTCTAGATTCAAACCTTGGTACCCCAAACACCTCGCTGCCTTAACCAGCCTGTTTGCTCGGCCTTCTGTTCTGTAGGAGCAAAGATCAGGCTGGGTTTTCCACTGTCCAGACAAAGTGCGCAGAGCCTCAAGAGGCCCAGTGACTCCACAGAGCCCAGCCACAAGGATCAGAGTTGGGAGCCCCCGGGACCCAGGCCCTGCCACTGACCCACACCTGAGGGCAAGGAGCAGGCCCCACCGTGGCCACCCCACCTCCACAGTGATGGCACGCGTGCCGCCTGGGCCAAGCAGAAGGCGTGAGCGACAAGCCCCATGCCGACCCCACTCGGGCCCTCACAGCAGTGCTTTATCAAGTCAGTCGCCTGGTGTTGAAAGAGAAGAGAAATGAGTAAGAAACTCAAGTTGCCACCAACTTTATTTTTAGAAACTGCAGTATGAAATGAAAAATGAAGGTCTCTAGAATACCAAGTAGGGGAAATGATAAATTGATGCCTCCAAATGATATGACATGCAAGGAAACCATCCCAGTGCTGATGACTCAGAGGAGCCTGTGGGGCGGGTGGGGGTGATGATCAGGACCAGGAACCATCGGGGAGCTTTCAATTCAGCAGCAATGTGATCGTGTTGATGACACCCTCCAGGGCTGGCCCAGCTCTCCTCCAAAGCCTCCCAGACCATTTGCAAAGGCAGCATGGGGAGCCGTGATGAGTCAGCGCTTCTCGGGCCCCAAGTCAAGCCGGAGCAAAAATCCAGGCCCTGTGCCCAGAATTAGGACCCTCAGGGGGCAGCGGAGGGAACTGTAGACTTTCAGGTACACGACCAGGTGTATGCCAAGGTTCACTCAAGCCCAGAGAGCTGAGTCACTGCCACAGATGCCACCGTGCACAGTCAGCAATAGCAGCGCAGGGGCCGGGCCAGAAAACAGGATGTGTTCTCTCCTGACCACCTGGGCAAGCCCACCTTGGCTTGTCCCCTCCCTGGATGCCATGGCAAGCAGGCTCATACTGCATTTGTCCCCCCTCGAGTCCCTGAACACCCTCCTGACTCGCTGGTCCTCTGTAGTAGTCATTAGTGTTTTCTGCCAAATATTTCCACATTGTGCCCCTTCCAAACATATGCAGCAAGGGCACTGCCAGCCCCCTGCTTGCTCACACAGCGTGCTGCAGGTGGGGGTGACCGCGCACCTTCTGGGCTGGAGCATGTCGCTGCCTGAGCGTGGCCTTCCTTCCAGAGGGCTCTTCCCTCTGCTCTGTAAGTCTGGCTTAGGGGTGGGGCAGAGCCCCTGACAGTCCCCAGCGACCCCGGCCATGTAACCTGCTGGCAGAAGGGCCTGCAGGAGGGCAGCCAGGAAACTATCATCAGAGGCAGGAAGACGGTCCCTCCTGGAGGGAGTGTGAGTCATTTAGTGAAACTGTCACCTGCAAATCTGTGGGAGGCCGATCTTACACCAAAGGAAACCGTAACTCTAGGGGAAGTAGTTGGAAACTGGCTAGTAGCGTGTGTTGGCTGCTGTTGGATTCTGTGGGAAAGATATTACAAGAAAAAGATGAGCTCAAAAAATAATCATCTGGTTCACAAGCGGGGATGAAAGGGAATGGAAAGTTAACAAATTCAGGAACTTGCAGGATTAGAAAGAAGCTAGGCTTCTCAAACACCAACAGCGAAGTGATAACATTGAGAAATGCCTGAAGAAACAACTTCCGGCTGCACTTGGCCGTTTTCAAGACTGACCTCAAGCCATGGCCTCACGTCCATCTCTGAAGCCTCTGGGTGAACCAAGACAAGACCCCGGGACTCCTCACAGGTGGGCACAAGGAAGGAGAGGAGGCTGTGGTGTCCCGTGTAGCTTTATGCAGAGGCAACGCTGACGAGTCTCTCTCTGTAACTGAGTAAGAAGCCACCGGCAGTTGTGAGAGGATGTGACCGAAGAACACACAGCCTGGAAGAAGATAGTCAATGCTCATCATTCGCATGAGCTTTATTCTGTAAAGTCTGCTCCAGCAAATGAGTTAGCAAATACCAAGTCAACACTCCTCGGGGACATACAAGGTCAGGCTCCTGCAAGCCTGTGGTCACAACAGTTTCATCAGTCAGTGATACCTGACCTTGTTTGATCTTTGCTCCTATTTAAAGTACCGTATTGAATACACATTGTTAACTCATTAACACTAGCCTCGTGGCCAACAGCACCGTGAGCCACGCCTGAAGGATGCTCACCCAGCACACGGGTCCTCTGCTCATCGCAACCTTCTTGTGCTTCAGACACTTCCCTGCAGTGCCCGGGACCATTTCACTGCAAGATCACCAACTGAAGCTCAAAACTGAACACAGGCACCAAGCGGGCATGGAAGGACATTTGCTCCAAGATGCTCACCCAGCACACGGGTCCTCTGCTCATCGCAACCTTCTTGTGCTTCAGACACTTCCCTGCAGTGCCCGGGACCATTTCACTGCAAGATCACCAACTGAAGCTCAAAACTGAACACAGGCACCAAGCGGGCATGGAAGGACATTTGCTCCAGTGAGCGCAGAAGCCAGAAGGCAGGGCGTCACCTGTTCATCCTGGGCTGGGAACAGCACATCAGGCCATTCAGACGATTTGCACCCTGGTATGTCTGAGGAGGACCTCAGCACTATTGGACTGTTGATGTGGGATTACCCAGAAGTTTACCAGAGCGGGTGGGTTCACACACATGGATCCATAGATATTGAGGAAGGACTGAATTTGAGACCATCTGGGGACTTAGTGGCCATTGACGGGACAGTAGAAAGGCTGGGGAAGAAGCTTAGCCCCCTGAGGGTGGCTCTCCAGGGCCCAGCTCAGAAGGGACCAAGCCAAGGGAATGGCAGGAAGGGCCCCCAAAGGGCAGAGCAGGGGCCAGAGGGCTGCGGGCTGGGGCCTTCCCCGGGAGAGGCATGTCCCACCCAGGTGGGATGCCAGGGTGGCCTCAGAGCTGTGACTTCCATGAGTCCGCCTTTCCAAGTAAGTATGCTGATGGCTATGGTCCCATCCCTGCCTCCCTATTTTATACTGAATGGGGGTGGTGGTGACTTTTCATTTCATTGGCCTCCAAATCAACAAGTGGCCCATCAGGACCCGCTCAGGGCCCTAGGGCATCCCCCAGCGCAGGGACTCCCCGTGCCATGCAGAAGGTTCCCAGAGCATGGCGCAGGGATGACCAGGGGTTTGGAAAGCAAGGAGAGACTGGACTTCACAGCAAGGAGAGCAGCCTTGGCTGTGGGCTGTGCGCAGGCACTGGCGCTGCTGGCTCTGGGTCCACTCAGGCACTCCAGGGTCGCGTGCATGTTCCCAGAAGCAGACAGAATTTAGCATGCAGGACATTTATTAGGAGGTCCCCTTGGGGTCAACAGCCGTGGGAAGGTGGGGGCAGAGAGGCCATGGCAAAGGGGGCAGTGGGAGAGCCAGGCAGCCACCGGCCCCTGCTGAGATCTGCAGCAGAAATGAGCCGGGGCCAGCTTTGTGGAATGGCCAGCCCGGCCACTGCCCCTGCGGTTACCCTGGGGCTTCTACTTCCATGCAGAATGGGTGAGCACGTGGGCCAGAAGCTCTGCCTTCTGGGAGAATGGTCCCTCCTCGCTCTTAGAACAACCTGAGGGACAACTGCATGTGGCAGCCATGTGGTTTTCACTGGCCCACAGACCAGTCCACACACCAAGGTGGGGCTGTTCTTCCCGTGGTTCACAGGAGGGTGTCTCCATCTGGCGTGGGCGTGAGCTAGGTGATGTGCAGCTTGCTGGCCCTCTGCCCCTGCCTATGTGGGTCCCAGATGTACATTTCCATCTGTGGTGAATTATTTCTGAGCCCCAACCTTACAACTTATGGGGGTGACAGAATCCAGCTCATCCTGAGCAGGTCCAGATGTGTGACCGGCTGTTCTGTCTCCCAGGGCCCGGTAGCACATCAGGTTATTTTCCAAAAGGCATAGGATTCTCTGCTCCAGATGGCGTGGCTTTGTTCCAAAATCCCAGGGCCCCACATTGTGATTCTGACAGGAGCTTGCCACAAACACCACAGAGCATTTCCCGCCAGCAATGTCTCCCATAGCCCAGGGTGGTCTATCTGGGTGTGTGGCCTGTCTCCTGGCTGCTTGCACTCAGTCTGGATCTGCTGCATAGCCCTTTCCAGCTCTGGGCTCCCTCAATGCTGGAGGCTTTTCTGGTCAACAACCTACGGATTCAAGCAGTGTGCCCAGGTGTGAACATGCTGCCTCCAGAATCCAAGGCATTGTCTGTCTGTCTGTGCAACAGGAGGTGCAAGATGCAATGACGAGCCCTTTCTGCTAGATGGTCAGCCCCAGTATACTGCTGGTTATGGGACCCCCTAAGAATTTTATTTAGGGTTTATTTTCCACCTGCTGGAGCTCAGCTACTTTACTGAGACTTCTAATGTGTTAGCCACTTCTTGCTTATCACCCAATTGGCATGTTGTCATCAATGCAGTAGGCCAATGTTCTCTGAGATGTCCAGGCCACCCAGATCTCTTTGGGCTCATTGGGCAAAGAGTATGTGAGTTGACACAGCCCTGAGGCAAAGCAAAAATGTGTACTGCTATGCCTGCCGTGTGAGGGCAGACTGCTTCCTCCCAGGGAGAGAAGCACGCCCTGGCCAACTCAGAGCAGAAAACCCCATGCCTGGTGGTGTTCATCTGCTCTAGGGATGCTACCTCCCATCTTCACAGGTGCAGGTCAGACCCCTCGGTGGCCGTACTGACCTCTACCCACAGCAGTAATTACAACCACATGTCTTCTGTCAGGTCCGTGCCAGCACCTGCCCCTACAGTTTTGATGTCTTTCCCTCCATTGCTCCCTGGCTCCCACTGTTCCTCCTGTGGTGACCCTGGTTCCATGGCCTGTCCTGCAGTGAATCTGGTCTACAGGGGAGGTCACTGCTGACTTCTTAGTGAGGCTGGTGCATTTCACTGGCTATTACTCAGTGGTGTGCCCCCTGGGACATCCTGGGGAGCATAACCGTCTGGTAGGTTCTGGGTGTTACACCATAGGCCTATTCCTGCCAGCCCACCTCCTGCACCTGAGAAGGACAAAAATTGTCCACCATCTGCCATGACGGCTCTGGTGTTCCCATCTCATGCAACATGACCAATGTTTTTTTCATGCTTCCAGAAACAGTCAGTTCAGGACATCTCCTAAATCCTGCCAAGGTATAAAATTCAGACTCTTAAGAGAGTGCCCTCAAGTCAACAAACTCCCATATCCATTCTGTGACCCAGCCCTTGATGAACCACTCTCAGATCCAGACCCCCAGGGGTACCCACCAGGCAGGCCCCTTCCCGTGTTCAACTCAGCATCCCTGGCTGCACCATGCGGCAGCTTAGCCCAGCTTAGAACCCCACTTAGCCTGGGGGTGGGGGAGCGCATATCCAGAAGCAGACGCACAGTGTCCTGCAGGGGAGACGTCATATTTTGTCCTCAAGCGAGCACAATGCTGGCATCTAACAGGAGGTGCAGCCCACTTCTGCACACTCACGGGGGCTCAAGGAAATCCGAGAATTGAAGATTTTCAAGTGCATCAACCCAGAAATCCCTATTCCATGTGCTAGGGTCCCCTTCCCTTCCAACCAGGGCCCCTTCCTTTAGCAGACCTGCCTCGGTTAGTAGTTCAACCCTCCTTGGAGCCCAGTCACCCTGATGAGTAAGTCCGAGGTGCGGCTCAGCTTTTTCATCCTTCTGCAGCGGGAGCTCTGAGCCTGTTGTGTGCTTCCAGGTCCAGGAGACCCGAGGCTTTCACAGCTGGCTTTCAGTCGCTTACTAATTCCTCCCACATTTATCATTTCCCAGAGCATCTATGTATCCCACCCTGAATCCCCATGACCTTGAGTTGACCGTTTATCCCCTGCCTTTCAAACTCTTGATACATCCCACAGTCACCACAGTCCTGTCCCTGGAAGACCGTCCCAGTTCTCAGGTCACCACCCTGTGCCAGGTGCCAGTTTTTGTTGTTTTTATTTTCGTCAGTGTGATTTTACCTTTAGCATAATTGCATTGGAGTCAGAGAACTTATCCTGCATGATTTTAGCTTTCAAAACTGTTCGAGAGTTACTTCATGACCTATTCAGTAAATATTTCACATATGCAACATGGCCAACAGTTTACCAAATACAGTTGAAAAGGATGAGTATTCAGCAGTCGTTTGCCGTCGTGTTCCATAAATGTGTCCATCATGTCACATGTACTGATCTTATTAACATATTCTATATCATTACTGAATTTTTGTGTGTTATCTGCAAGGTAATTAAAGAGGTGTGTGAACATCTCCCACGTATTATCGCAGTTGTGGATGTTCCTACTAATCTCCATCCTATCAATTTTCAAAATATATTTCGGTATCATGTTGTAAAGTGCATACAGTATTAGAATTGCTATATTTTCCTGGTGACTCAACATGTCCATCTTTGTCTCTAGTCAATTTCTGTCTCTAGGGATTTTATACCTCAAGTCAATTTTGTCTGATATTAGTATATATACACTATTTTTTGACTGCCATGTTTTTTCCCATTATTTTGTTGTAACCTATATTTGTCCTTAACATTTTAGATATTGTGGATGTACAAAACAATGCCTAGAGAAAATTTTTAGTGTTAAATGCCTTTCTTGAGTTAAAAAAAAATTTGTAGCCAGTGTGTCTTCAGATATTGCTTCTTCCAGTCCTTTTTTCCTGTCCTTTTCAGACTCCATATTTATGAAACGTTCTCACAGCATTCTGTCTTTCACCCTCTAATGTGAATGTTCAATCCATGTGTCCCCCCATGGTTTTATTCTGGATATTTTCTTTTAACCTATTTGCAAATTCACTATTTTTCTCATTAGCTTATCTAATGTTCTGTTAATCCCATCCATTAAGTTTTTTATTTCAGTAATTATATTTTGCAGTTCTCGAATTTGCATTTGGATATTAAGTCATTTTTTATAGCTTCCAATTCTCACTCATTTTAACATTTTGCCTGGTTAATTCCACTATCGAGAGCTCCTGAGGGTCTAATTTTATTGTCTCTGTTTCTGCTGGTTCTTGTCTTTTCTCGTGTGTGTTTCTTTCTTCCAGATTGTGCACTAGACATTGAATTTGGGGAAAAAAACATTTTGTAGAAATAATTTGACAAAAAACCTTTCTCTGAGGACCTTTTATGACTGCCAGGCACCTGGTTATACTGGCAATCTGGAATCACCTTAATCTAATTTTAGGGACTGAGATTTTCCGGGACATCCAGGTGTCTGAAAATGAGACAGAGATTTTGTGAGAGCTTGCTTATTGCCAGTTCTCCTTTTTCCTCAGGTGCAAACTTTCGGGGTCCCAGCCCAAAGCAGAAAGGTTGCTAAGACCCCCAAACTTGGCGGGGGTCTTGGGCTCTAAATTCTTCCCTCTGCCCCTGGGCCATCAGAAGGGGCTTTGCGGCTGCCCCGCCTCCTCTTCCATGAGTGACACACACTCTCTCGGCAGAAAAATGGCCCCAGGCCCTGGGCTCATCTTTCTAAGTTCCTGTCTTCTCCCTGATGTGGGCCATGGTGTTTACTATCTCATTAGTCCATCAATATTCAAGAATATCTTTTAGATATTTTGCTCAAATGTATCTGGTTGTTCTCAGAGGGGGAATGGCCCACATTGCTTAGCACACTATTGTTGGAAGCAGAAGTCTTTATCCATTATTCTCAGCATAAATTCAATAATAACTCATTCTCCTGACACCAAGAGGTCAGCACTTCAAATATGTTCACTTTGGCAGCCCAAGTGTGTTGTTCTATACTCTGAATACAAGTGGGAAAAAACTCACTTAAACATTCTGCAAAGTTCATAAGCTTCAGCACAGGCTGGCCTAAAACTCTGAATAAGTTGCATTCCAAAGTTCATTTGTAAGTGGGTTGTTCAGAGTTCAGAACGCATGTTCCCTTGTGGGAGTCCAAACTTTAAGGGCCCGTCAGGGGGCTGAGCCAGGGGCCATGGTGGCGGCCTGAGTTCCGTGTCATGGATTCGGGGCACAGACAGCAGGAGGAAGGTGCCGTGGCCTCCTGTCTACCAAGCAGGAGGAGGCCCCACCCAGAATGTCAGAGGCAGAAGCTGATGAAATGACTTGCTCAGAAATCCAAGGAGGCGGGGAGCACAGCCAGGACCAGTCTTCCTACTGCCCGTTCCTGTCATCCGTCCATCTGCCTTGCCGCCTCCCTGCCTCAGGGCTGGGCACGACCCTTCTCCCTCTGTCACACACACATACACGTGCACGTGTGCACACATGTATCCACACATGTGCAGTTTGTGCACAGGCACACATGGTCCGAGGCCAAGTTCAACTTTGTACTGGTCATTAATAATTTCTCTAGCGCCACTAATATTTGTTATTCTGATCAGGGAAATTCTCTACCCTTCAGTTCCCAAGTTGTTCCACTGCGTAATAAAGGGTGTGATATTGGCCACCACACATTCTGAGCACAGAGATGAAATAAAAACTGTCAGGAGTTTGAAAAGCAGCAAGATCATGAAGAAACAGAATGATGGGGTGAGAGGAGAGGAGCCCCACATGTGGAGGAGATGGGGCCCCCAAAGGGAAGGTGCTCAAAGCCTCAGAAACAGTCTGCAAACTTGACACTTCCCAGCATCTCTCTAGCCTTTGCTTCTCTTAGAGATGAAGGATGACCTCACACCGTTCTTTAAAGCCGCACATATGGAATCATCGGGTCGGCAAGGTGTCTCCCTGTGCTCATGGGCATGTTTAGGTTTTCTGTGGATTCCTGTTCCTGCCTTTGGCCAAGTGTATAGTTTGTCTACTGATTTGTAAAAGCTCTTTGCATTACATACATTACAAATATTTACAAGTTTCTGTTGTAGGTGGTGGTGTTTTTCCTAGGTATCCTAGAAAGGTACTCACGAGGGGGATACCATTTCGTGGGATGGGCTGCTTCAACCCTGGGTCCCCAGCGATCATAGGAAAGAGGGCCACAGGATCCCGGGAAGCAGGCACACCCCACAGACAGAGAGAGGCATTCCCCTGGGGCAGGGATCATTGATCCTGGTCATCACGGAGGTGTGGGGCTGTTGACACAGAAGAGGGAATGTCTGGCACCTGTGCAATCCCCTGAGGCACAGCTCTGGAGGGTGGGAAGCCCCAGATCAGAGCCAGAGCTCTGGTTCCTGGTGAGGTCCTCTTCCTGGTGCAGACACCACTTTCTCGCTTTGTGTGCCAGGAGGTTGAGAGCACTTGGCTCTACTTGGCTCTCTCCCTCTTATAAGATGCAAACCCCACCACGAGCCCACCTTCCTGACCTCATCTGAGCATACTTACCTCCCAGAGGCCCCACTCCACTGCCGTCGTATCCACACCATCTCCTTCGTCTCCGTCCCATGGGTCCTCCTGCAGCCAGTGTTTCTGCAGGCCTCACTGCTGGCTTGGTGGGGCCCAGGCTCGCCTGAGGGTTGCTGCATCCTCATTGGGCTGTGTTTGCTGTACTTGTCTATTTGCAATTAGAACTGGTCCCTCCAGAGCTGTGCAAATAAATTATTGGTTAAGCCACTTAAGCCACCCAGACTCTAGCAGTTTGTTCTGGCAGCCGGAACTGATGACATTCCTCTAACATGCACATATTTGTAAGATGTGGCTATGCAGTTTCCCATGTCCCATAATCACTCTAGGCACAGAGAAACCCTGGCTGTTGAGCCCTGGGTGAAACATGAGGAGGCCTTGTGAATCTGTGACCTGCTACAAGGTAACTAACAGTGACGTCAGAAACTAACACACACACACACACACACACACACTCCCACAGTTACAGGATGGCTTCCGCATCACCCAGCATCACGTTCCCACCCAGTGTGCACCTCAGCAGGGAGGGAAGCATTACCCAGAAATGCTCCAGCCAACTCCCTGTACATCTCATGGCCGGAACTGAGTCCCATTCAAACTTCTAGACATTCATGAGGTCAGGTGGATGGATGGCTATGATCAGCTTGGACCAGAAAACACTTAATCCCAGGGCCAGGGAAAACTGTGCTCCAATAAGATCCAGGTTTGTTAGCCAGACAAAAGAGGTAAGAACCCACAGTGTCTGCCACCGCATCAAAGCATTAAGCTAATTCTGAGCAGACCATCACCAGGTAGGACCTTTGATGGTGTGATCTCATGGTCTAGACTGTAGGACCTTTGATGGTGTGATCTCATGGTCTAGACTTAAAGGTAGAATTTTAGTATCTAAAATAATTAACTGATTGTTCACTGCCCAATATTATAATTCATCCCTTCAAAGTACATTTATTGAGTATCTATCATGGTTTTTTCAGCAAGTATTATAGAAATAATGGTCTTTTTCTCACCTCCTTACTTAAGCAATATTACCAATAATAGAATCAAAGATAAAAGGGAAGAAGCAAGCTTTGAAAGAATGAAATGCAAATGTATAATTAATCATATCTCACTTATCCAGTGATTCTGTGATCTTTCTAAAAAACATGGTTCACAGTTGTTTTTTGGCTATTCAGCATTCAAACATGCTTCCTGTCATGGAGAGGATGGGGGGATCTCTCTAAGTTAATTTCCAATGGGGAAATGACAGCCTCTTTAACAGCTGGTGTTGGCAAAACTGGACAGCTACATGTAAGAGAATGAAACTGGATCATTGTCTAATCCCATACACAAAAGCAAACTCAAAATGTATCAAAGACTTGAATGTAAGTCATGAAACCATTAAACTCTTAGAAGAAAACATAGGCAAAAATCTCTTAAATATAAACATGAGCAACCTTTTCCTGAACACATCTCCATGGGCAAGGGAAACAAAATAAAAAATGAACAAATGGGACTACATCATGCTAGAAAACTTCTATACAGCAAAGGACACCATCAGCAGAACAAAAAGGCATCCTACAGTATGGGAGAATGTATATGTAAATGACATATCTGACAGCGGGTTAACATCCAAAATATATAAAGAACTCACACACCTCAACACCCAAAAAGCAAATAACCCAATTTAAAAAATGGGCAGAGGATCTGAACAGACACTTCTCCAAAGAGGAAATTCAGATGGCTAATAGGCACATGAAAAGATGCTCCACATCACTAATTATCAGGGAAATGCAAATTAAAACCATCATGAGATATCACCCCACACCAGTTAGGATGGCCAACTTAGAAAAGACTAGGAACAACAAATGCTGGTGAGGATGCAGAGAAAGGGGAACCCTCCTACACTGCTGGTGGGAATGTAAGTTAGTTCAACCATTGTGGAAAGCAGTATGGAGGTTCCTCAAAAAACTCAAAACAGAAATACCATTTGACCCAGGAATTCCAGTCCTAGGAATTTACCCTAAGAATGCAGGAGCCCAGTTTGTTAAAGACATGTGTTTATCGCAGCACTATTTACAATAGCCAAGAAATGGAAGCAACCTAAGTGTCCATCAGTAGATGAATGGATAAAGAAGAGGTGATACACATACACAATGGAATATTATTCAGCCATAAAAAGAAAACAAATCCTACCATTTGCAACAACATGGATGGAGCTAGAGGGTATTATACACAGTGCAATAAGCCAGGCAGAGAAAGGTAAGTACCAAATGATTTCACTCACCTGTGGAGTATAAGAACAAAGCAAAAACTGAAGGAACAAAACAGCAGCAGACTCACAGAACCCAAGAATGAACTAACAGTTACCAAAGGGAAAGGGACTGGGGAGGGTGGGTGGGAAGGGAGGGACAAGGCAACTAAGGGACATTACGATTAGCATGAATAATGTAGCGGGGGGTGGGGGAGCACAGAGAAGGCAGTATAGCACAGAGAAGACAAGTAATGGCTCTATAGCATCTTACTATGCTGATGGACAGTGACTGTAATGGGGTATGTGGTGTGGACTTGATAATGGGGGGTATCTAGTAACCACAATGTTGCTTGTGTGATTGTATATTAATGATACAAAAAAAAATCCAAATGTAAAGTAGAAATAGTAACTTACTCACTGAGTGTCTACTGTGTGTCTGCCATTGCACAAGGAGCTTTCTAACATGACCTCAAAACCACACAATTCTGCAGGGCAAAGATTACTAGCCGTGCTCTCAAACCAGGTGTCATGGGCTGTATTGTGTGCCTTGATCTGTATGCTGAAGTCCAAATACCCAATACCATAGAATGTGGCTGTATTTGGATAATAGACGTTTAAAGAGGTAATTAAGGTAAAATGAAGTAATTAGGGTGGCTCTAACCCAGTATGACTAGGGTCCTTCTGAGTAGATCAGAACACAGACACACACAGAGGGACAGCCACTTACAAACCAGGAGAAACCAACCCTGCCAACCCCTTAAGAAGAAGAAGGAGAAGAAGCAAGGCCCTCCACCCACCACCAAAGCCTGAGAGGGATGAAGTTTTTCCTTCCCACGGAAGCTCAGGTTCAGGTGCATACGGCTCTGGCCAGATGACTGCAGGTGCACCGTACAGACGAGAGACCTGTGGCCCTGTGCTGCAGGGAGAAAGTACATCCCCAGGCATACCTGCTGGCAGCAGTATGGCGATGGACCCTCCAGGGACGGCTGTGTCCCCAGTTGCTGGGCCTGCCTGCGCCCCTGTCCTCTCCTGAGCCTGGGTCCCCAGCTTCTCTTCACTTCTGTGTATATTGTTTGTTTAGTAAGAGTTGCTTCCTGCTGTTTCAAAACAAGAATCCTGGTTGGTACCTGTGATGAGAACCCCGGGCAGGCCCCTGAGTGTATGTTCACACAGCCACAAAGAGCCCTCTTGACCTGTGAGGTGATTAGCTCTGTTTGGTTTCTAGGGTACAGCCTGTCCACAGACCACAGTCAATATCTTCTACTCTTCAGTGGATTTATTAAAGAGACTTTTGTCACATGGGAGCCTTCCTGCTATTGATTATCTTTGTTATCATAAAAAGGGAAGCTGAGATCATCTGTTAACCGTGGGGAGAAATGGACTGTATGGCGAGCTGTTTTGTGCACGCAGGTCACTATTTCACACCGTGACGTGCGGCTCTCACAACTCCCCCAGCTCATGACTTTAAGACTGAGTCTTGGTACAAAGGCTTGCATCTTTTCCACAAGACATTACCTCTTGAAAAACTTTTACGAAGGGGACTTAAGGATGTAGGCAGCAAGTGAGAATGGGCTTCACCACGAGTCTGTTTGTGCGGGGCTCCCGGGCTGCCTGTGCTCTCTGGCCTGGAGCAGGCGCCTCTCACAGCTGCCCTGTGCTCTGCTTAGTTCACTTCCTGTCTCAGTGGATCCAGGCAAAGCAAATATTTTAAGTTATTTTAAGTGGTTTTCTCCAAAATGGCAGGGTCTCATACCCAGACAGGACCTCATGCCTGACATGAATGTGATTCTTTGGGAGCAGATTTTCTAACAAGCCCCCATCTTTGTCCGAAGGAGTCTAAAGGTCAGGATGGAGCAGGCCATGACTCAGTGGAATAATTGTCAGCCTGAGTTCACGGAAGTAGCTCAGGATGCCTCCCTGAAGCTGGTGCCGAAGTGCAGAGCCGAGCCCTCTGGGTAAGCCGTCTCTTTCCTTTTCAGTGCATTTCTCTTCTGTGTAAGGCTAATGGAAAACCTCATCTGCATGCCTACTTGAGAAAGATGGCCAGGTGTTGGCTCTGGCACCAGGAAACTGGTGGAAATAGCAGATTTCAGGAATAAATGTAAACATCTGTCCCAGGGCATACCATCCTCCTTGTGGAGGGGTGGAAGCACATCCAAAACTGAGAACATCTCATTTTGGAATAGTATCCCAAGGAAACACAATTAGGAGCTGAGATAAGAAAACGCCCCCCATTAAAACACAAAGACACTTAAAAAGGCAACCGCAGCCGTCAGTGAGGGCATGTGCCGGCTCAGGTATTAAGCTCGCCCCCTGATCGCCAGCAAGTTACTGGGAACTTTCTGTAAACAAGACACAGGCTGGAGAGTAAAGATGCCATCCTCAATCAGCTCAGCCTGTATGTGACTGTCAAGAATCAAGAAAAGCCCACTTGTTACCCAAGACTAGTGGTTTAGCAGCATTCTGAGTAGTTTTTGTAGAAGGTAGACATTTCACTCTTCTGCTTCATAAACTAGGAGGCCCACGCTCTTGTTTGAAAATTCCACGGTATTCAGCTCTGCACCATGCTCCGAGGACATACACACCCCCAGGCCTTCTTCCCATTGTCCTTCTAAATCAGCACCATTTAGCCAGAAGGTTCAGTGGTCAGATGCCAGGTAGGTGAAGGACTTCTCTCATCCTTGCCTAATTCCTCCGGATCAGCAATGCCCACCCGATATGGCAGCTGCCCTTCCCAGCCAGGGTCTGCACTCCACCTGGTAGCCCCACGCCCTCGCGCGCCATTTCAGTCCCCCAGATGGAGCTCGAATGGTTTGTGTCAGAGTCTGTCTCCTCACAGACTGTGACCTCTGTGAGGGCGAGCTGTGGTCACTCAGCCTGGATGGCAGGGGCCCAGCTCGGGCCAGCACACACGGACATTCAGAGGCATCTTGTCGAGTGAGTGGACGGGTGGCCCCCTCACCATTTGCTCTTGGCCTTCACGAAGGCAGGGCCTCGAGCTCTTGATTCAGGGTTTAAGAGCTGCCACGTGCCCACTCCTGTTGAACTTGAAGAGGGGACTGCCCTTCACCCCCTTCCTCCTGCCAGTGACAGGACTCAGCACCCGATGGATGGTCGCTGTGCTGAGCACGCCAACTGGTGTCTGCCTCTCAGCCGGGTTACCCTGGGGCAGCAGGTGTCTTTCAGGGGCATGTGTCTCCGGTGGCCTCATGCAGTCTGGTTCAACTGCCACCTCCCAGACGTTGCTGACTTTATTCACTCATCCCTAAAAAAAGTACAATAACTAACATTGGATCCCTGTGAAGGGTCTGACACCAGGCCGGACGCTCTGGAGATCACCAGGAAGAATAAGACACAGCCGCAGCCCTGGAGGAGTTACAGTCCACTAAGATGGGAGCATGGTGGGGGTCGGGGCGCCCACAGAGAAGTGTGGAGGCTGCCAGCCCCTCCTCGGACCCAGTCGGTGAGAGCTCAGCCACTGAGATTCACGGCCGCAACTGTGCTTCCGGTTCAAGCTGCACCTCAAGCTGGGGCCTTAAAAACACTGCCTATTCTATTCTGATGAAGCTTCTGTCACTGCATTTCCACTTGAGGACAAGCTGTCAGTCACTGCTTCCTGAAATGCACTGGAAACGCTCAGGCTGATCCAGGGTCAGCTGGGTAATGACTCATGGGAGTGAGGGCTCCTCTGCTCAGCGCCCACGTGGTGTGCTCAGACCAGTTAGTGTCCCTCAACTTTACAACCGCCCTTCTTTGGGCCGTGAATTATTTCATGTCAGGATTTGGGCCTTCTGGGTTAAAGACTGTCCAGCAGATTTTAAACATGCTGAGCTTGTGCTTGCTTGCAGATTTGTACTTGTGTTCGGAAGGGTAGGAAACTCCTTCAGGCCCAGAGATGGCCTGACATCCACCGCCTCTGACTCCCGAGGGATGCTTCCTGTTAGATGCGGCCCGCCAGCCTCAGAGGGCAGCCTGCCCTCCCACTAACCCCTGCACAGGCTTAAGCGTGTCCTCAGAACCTGTTTCCCCCACAGCTGTGGAGGGTGTGGCATTCTCCCTTAAAAAGGTGGGTGGAGTGAGTGCCAGTTCCCCGCTCTGGGGGCGCTATTTCTGTGGATGCCAGAGTCTCCAATCCCCTTCCTCTGAGACACGGAACCTTGTGGGGTCCCTCCCTGCCCTCCACCACTCTGCTGATCACCCCCAGCACATGCACATTGTAACAGAGGTGTCAACAACCTGCCACCCTCAGTGCCCCTTACAGGACCTGTGCACCCTGCCCACCTCTGCTCCCAGGAGTCAGGTCCAGACCCCAAGATCCCTCCAGCAGCCGGACGTTTGTTACATGGCAGTGCTGACTGATTCAGTCTGGCCTTCTCTCCAGCTCCCTCTGGGAGGGCTTGACCCTTCACAGATCCTGCAGGCGACTTTCAAAGAGCCCATCCCTAACTGGAGGGATCCTCAAAGTGCCTGTCCCTTGTGCCCCACGGTGCCCAAGACCCCCTGAAGTGCGTGCCTCTGCCCCCAGTCATTTCCCCTTCCAACCACTGCTAGGTCTGACGGAGCCAGGCTCTGATAAGACGACCCTGGATTCAAACTTCATTTCCCACTCGCACACCAAGTGCCTCTGGGCAAGTGTTTCACTTTCCTGGCCTCAGTTTCCCTAACTGTAAAAACGGGGCAGTGAGGATGACATTTTCAAAGGTGTGTAAAATCCCTGACGCCAACAGGCATTTAACAGGTGCCCAACAGATGCTGGTCCCCCTGTCCACCAGCTCCCTTTGCTGCTGCCCCAGAGAATCTTCCAGTCACCACAGTGCTGTGGGCTGAACATGCCCCCCCAGCTCACATGTTCAGCGTGGCTGCATCTGCAGGAAGGCAGCAATGAGAGCTAAATGAGGTCATACGGGTGGGGTCCTGATCCCATAGGAACAGCCCCTGTAGGAGGCATGGGACCCCCTCTCTCCCCTCCGAGTGCACGCTCCGAGGAAAGACCGCGTGAGATCTCCCACCAGGAACCAATTTGCCGGCACGCGGTCCTGGACTTCCAGCCTCCAGACTGTGAGAAAAAACTGTGGCTCAAGTCCCCCAGCCTGCAGCGCTCTGTCCCGGCAGCCCAGCCAGAATAAGATGCGCCCTGACATTACTCTCTTCCTCCCGGTGGTCCTTTGGCTACTTAGTGAAGTCAAAGTCATGAGGCAGGTAGTTCAGGCTTCCCCCATCTGGCTCCGGCTGCCGTCCTGGGATTATCACCCCCACCTCAAACCCTAACGGCCAGCGCCGCCGGGCCAAGCTGATGGCTGACTCACAACTAAGCAGAGACAGATGCAAGGGTCCGAAGGGGCCCTGAGCAGGGACCAGATTCAGCGCCTTCACAGTCACACAGACTGGGTGGGAGGGGTGACATGCGGGACAAGGTCAGTTCCCGGAGGTGCTGGGCTCACCCCCAGGCCCTCTCCTTGGAGTGCGCCCCCCTTCCTCCTTGGGTGAGGAGAGCTGACTGTCACGTGTGCCACCTGGTTTCTTGAGGTCGGGGGGATGGATTTCCCCTTTCTGCAGAATCGGACTTTCCACTAGGCAAAACTTTGCTCTAGGGTCCTTGAATTATTTATTCATTTGTTCATTTTGTTCTATGTATTCAGTTATTCAACCAGTATTTATTGAGAGGACGCCATCCAGGAGGCTGGCATCCAGCCGTGAATGACAAGAGCCTGTCCTCTCAGAACTAGAATCTGGCGGCCAACAGGGTTCCGCGAGGAAGAGCAGTGAGGGACCATCACTGGGGAGCAGGCGCTCCTGTCCCCTCTGGTTCCACCAGCACCAGCCCTCGGCCTCAGTTTTGTCTTTATGCAGGTGGCAGCCCTGTGGCACAGGCCTGGCTCATAGCACCAGAAGGCTGTTCCTAAAAGGCTGACAAAGTCAAGTTTTCCACCCTGTTTGAAAGGGCCCAGCAATGAAATGGGAGCTTCAAAAGCCATCAGCCCAGGCAAATGCCTGAGAATCTGTGAACCCTGAGTCCTTCCTGAGAGGAGGAGTCGGGAGAAGGGCCCCAATATGA